TAATATAATATAATATAATATAATATAATATAATATAATATAATATAATATAATATAATAATTGAGAACAGAAAAAGTAAACCCATGTCAAACATTTATGAGAACACGAATAAGAAAAAAGTTAGTGACAAGAAGTGGGTGGGTTCTCAAACAACTTGTGAGCAACTGAAGCTACTGTGAATGACACAGGATACCACTGATGGACTTGTGACCTGGCAGTAAACAGTGGTGATGCTAGTGCCTGTAGGGGTCCTAGGCAAAAATTGACTTTATTCAAGTGTCTCTCCCTACTGTTCAGGCTAGACTAGCAGCATTAATTATTTCACATTATATTTAACCATCATTATGTTCATTATCTCCACTCACAACTCTCTTGCCGGTTTTCTCCACCTTCCCTTTTTTCTTCATTGTTTAACTACTCTTCATTTGTGAAGTGTCTTCTGCTGTTGTTGTTAGGGTAGTTTAACTTCTTCCCCTCTTTTATACCAGTACTTAAGTAGAGTTTTTGTGCCAAGACCTATCGTTCAGGAGAATACTGAACAGAGTGCTCATGCTCCAGCACCGATATAAATGGTAAAGAGTTGTGGTGACGTCACTGCTTGTGCACAACACAACCAATGTGCTGAGTATAATTGCAAACTTTCAGTGTCACCATGCTGTAGGGTAAACCAGACCCCGCTAGTATGGCCCACCAAGCAGTTACCTCTCTTGCCTTGTGACCAGCTTGCAGTGGGAGTCAGTGGAGTCACATCAGGCCCCCCTAAAGAGGTCAAGTCTCTTTGACTGTCTCTGCAATTTTGTTTTTGTTTGCTTTTAATTCAAGGGCACTGGTTGCCACTGCTGTAGGTTAAAGTTTGTCAGCACTTGGGGGACCTCTTCTGGTGTTGGGCCCCAAGCACCTGCCTTTTTTGGCTGTTGGCAAGCTGGACCAGCTGTCAGCTTCAAAGCAATGCATGATGAGCTAATCACTTCCCATGCATCTTTATTGTTTATCTGAAAATGTGGGCAGTACAAAAAATGAAACTGCTGGAAAACTGTTCTTTTACCAGCTTTCTGTGTTTGGCCCGTTTTAACATTTTACAATTTAATATATATATAGCCTATAGGAACTGCAATATTGGGATGTGGGCACAAATTAGATGTTGCCATTCCCATTCATTGATCATTGGCTGCAATAGGAAAGCAGCTAAGCTGACTTTGCAGTGATTGGATGTTGACAGTTGTTGCTTATCTGTAATTGGTTGCAACCTGTGCAGTACTTGTAAAGACAATGGAATGATGCTTTCAAGTGATAATCAAAAACAAAATCTCACAGGTAAACTGTGTTAAACAGCTAGATGTTGCACCAAAATGTTTTACAATGCACATCTTTCAATTGAAAACATCTGTTGCACTTTATCGGCTACTAGGTTGGTTGTAGTGTAGTGTAGTGGTTGTAATATTTCACCTCCAGTTTTCCCGGCTGTCTTTCGGT